AAAAAAAAACCTTAACCGGAAGCTAAAAAAACAAAAACAAAAAAAAAACATGATTTTACTAATGTGTGTTGATCATTGTAATGAATACCTGGCAACCTAAGTGCCACTGAAAGAGTAAGTGAAAGAGAGAGAGTTTGAGGGACATGTTTGACGTCACTGAACAACCTAGAAGTTGCATGAGTTTTTCCCACACAGGGAATGTTAAGGCAGGTTAATTGAGGTTGAAATCATAAATTAAACTGCACACTGAAGCTTGTGTGCAGACAAAACAAGAGAATGTAAAGATTAAAGAGTATGTAGGCTATCAATACTGGTCTTGACTGAGATCAGAGAATGTTTTTTTCGTTAATTGTATTAAGATGCACACGATCTACAGCATGTTAAAAGACTTGAGAAAGTGCACTCTTAATACACATTTTAAGACAAAAACTTTTAATCTGCTAAATCTATAATCTACTAAATGTGTCTATTAGGCACAAAAGTAAATGCCTTTAAATAATAAGAATTAACATCATGATTTTCCCTAAAGTTGCTTTAAAACAGTGTGCCAAAAGCGATATGTAAATAGCATAAATTTGACATTTTTTGACTTTTATGGATGGCTATGTCAGCTTATCACATTGTGACAGAAAAATTTGAAACATTTATTTTAAGGCCCTTTATGGGAATCCTGCAGCTGTCAATGTAAATGGACAGGATTAAAAAAAGGCGGGTTTTGGTTTGGCTTTGGGCTGGAAATTTTTATGGGACCTGGCAACCCTGCTGAACTTTATCTGTAGACTAGAAAAACAAAAAAAACAAAAAACATGATTTTACTAATGTGTGTTGATCATTGTAATGAATACCTGGCAACCTAAGTGCCACTGAAAGAGTAAGTGAAAGAGAGAGAGTTTGAGGGACATGTTTGACGTCACTGAACAACCTAGAAGTTGCATGAGTTTTGCCCACACAGGGAATGTTAAGGCAGGTTAATTGAGGTTGAAATCATAAATTAAACTGCACACTGAAGCTTGTGTGCAGACAAAACAAGAGAATGTAAAGATTAAAGAGTATGTAGGCTATCAATACTGGTATCAATGTTTTTTTCGTTAATTGTATTAAGATGCACACGATCTACAGCATGTTAAAAGACTTGAGAAAGTGCACTCTTAATACACATTTTAAGACCAAAACTTTTAATCTGCTAAATCTATAATCTACTAAATGTGTCTATTAGACACAAAAGTAAATGCCTTTAAATAATAAGAATTAACATCATGATTTTCCCTAAAGTTGCTTTAAAACAGTGTGCCAAAAGCGATATGTAAATAGCATAAATTTGAAATTTTTTGACTTTTATGGATGGCTATGTCAGCTTATCACATTGTGACAGAAAAATTTGAAACATTTATTTTAAGGCCCTTTATGGGAATCCTGCAGCTGTCAATGTAATTGGACAGGATTAAAAAAAGGCGGGTTTTGGTTTGGCTTTGGGCTGGAAATTTTTCTGGGACCTGCTGAATGAAGTGCCGCGTTCCGAACGTTGTTTAAGCGACATACACCTTTTACCGGTATTACGGTATTTTAAAAATTCATATCATAACAAAAATAAACACCGGTATTCGGTATGAACCGGTATACTGCCCAGCACTAATGGATGGATGGATGGATGGATGGATGGATAAACAAACTTGAACATTCTATATACAGCCACGCAACAACTAATGTTACACTGACTGTAACAGAACTGTAACACAGAAAACTGAAGTTTACCTTGTCTTTGAGAATATCTTGAACAGCTGTCTCGAATTCTTGAGAGTTGTTGAAGTCTACTGTTATGACGTGGGGTTTGCCGATGTACTGTTCAGTGTACGGGTGCTGAGATGACACCTGATGAGAAGAAGAAAACACGAGTGCTATCTATCATGAGCGCACTACACCGATTCTTCCGCTCCAGTTCATTTTCACAGTTCACAGCTCTGAGGATTATATGAACAGCAGAATTGTGTGCCATTCAGAAGTGAATTGAGATTGCCTTTTACATTTTTATACAATTCCCCTTTGTACTGAGGTAGCAAATATATGTATTTAGTATATTATGCATAGTTTGAATTTAAATTAGAATTTATGGGAGTAGACTTAAAAGAATACAGTTCAGAAAATCACACATTTATACATAGAACAGATGGGCTGTTTTCAGAAACATTTGCTTGAAATGCTTTAGAAATTATGATATATATTGTACATTTCTACAACAAATTCTGACTTTTCCTTTTTTATTCAGTGGCGGAAACTGGATTCCATAGATTGTATAGATGCCTGTTACGTGTTTTGGGAGTACTACACTTTTAGTTTGGAGAAATGTGTTTAGAAATCAGGAATAAACACATATTTTAAAAAGTCAAGATGAATGATATTATGTAATAGTTTTTTGTTAAAAAGTTAGACTAATGAAAAATCTTCGACTTTCTTTGAATTTTATATCAGTAGTTTCTTCTTGCATAATGGACCCTCTTTAAATTTATAAGGGATATTGTGAGCAGACTGCGCTTACCTCTCTGGATGTGGGCTTCCCTCTGAAGAACTCATGGTTGAGGGAGCTGCGAGGGGGGCTGAACTTTGGCTGCAGGAACACGCAGCCATTGGCTATTGCCTCTAAAGGGGCGGGACCTTCATAGGGAAAGCCAAACCCCAAGAAGAGCTGAGAGAAAATTGATGTTTAGGATTGTTAATTGATTACAAGTTTAATCAAAATTGCTGCATATTATCATTAATCAAAACACAGTTAATTACATGTATATATATTTTGATAAGTGTACATACAGAAATTACTCCAATGGTTGAAAAACTCTTATAATGGAATTTACTTGAAGGTCAACGGGACATTAGCCATTTTTTAAACAAATTATTTTATTTTATATTATATTTTTTAAATGTATTTACTGAATATTTAGATTAACAGTCCTAGTGTTGGGTAGTAACTGATTACATGTAATCTGGATTACATAATCAGATTCCAAAAATTAAGTACTTGTAATTTGGTAATATTATGTTTTTAAACACTCATAATCAGATTACAGTTACTTTTTAATGGATAACATGATTACATAGTATTCACACGTGTCAAACTGACTGCATAAGTGTGGCAACGTTATAGTTTTGTGAATTATATGTGTACTAAATGTGCTTTTGTAATAACTATATAGACTGATAAGTGATCTGATCTGTTACCACACATGGATTGCATTTGTAAAGCCAAAATTGGCTGTTCATAATTAAACACTTCCATAATGCAAACATAGCTGAGTCTGCATCTGTATCACTGGGACAAATTCCCTACGTATTTTTTATAACATGCAAGTTACTAAACACTGCAAGTTATTTCAACTGCATTATCACTTAGATGTGAAAGTACATCATGCTAACTGTACCTTAGCCTTCCTCAGAAGCTGCTGTAGCTCCTGTTGGGGCAGTATGCCGTGGTTCCTGACGAATGCGGGCACCTCAGGGGGCCGCTGGGCTTCATAGTACACTGTCCCGTGGATGTCCATGTAACGGTGTAAGATGCTGAGCAGCTTCTCCTTACCCTGCAGAAGCATGGAAAAAGAGAAGCAGATGAGAACGAACCTTAGAGAAAGACTAGTGTGTCTCTTGATCCCTCCTATTTATGACATCCACAATAAGTCCGTACTTATGAGTTTGTAAATTGTAATTACTATGTCATAATGCAGTTCAAATGATTTTGGAAAAAAAAAAAAAAATACATTTAAAAAAAATATATATATATATATTATTTTGGTCTTAAAGCAGCATAATGAAGAGCAAACTATGTGCATTGCATTTAATTGTTGCTTTATCACTATTTTAATATTGTACTGCCACAGAGAATTATGGTATTATGGTTATGTCGACATAACATAAGTATGTCGACAGTGAACAGTGTTTTCTGGCATGCATTCTAGTGTTTTTAATCAAAATGCATACAGATTGTGCGTTAAAGAATGAGTAGTTTCGTATCTAACTTGAGATCAGCACCATGGACAGTGCACACTCAAAAGCACAGGCTACAGATGAGAACAGTGAAACTGACTCACCTCTGCATACAATTACAACACAGCACCAGAAACATATGAGTTTCCCATTAGTATTTCAGGAAAAAGGTTTAATGCATTTGCCTTTGACAAAAAAAAACGAAGAGTCTGATCTGTTATAGCCAAAACCCCCGCAGCAATAATTCACTCCTGTTGATGTTCAATAAAAAACTCAGCAGAGCACAACACTTCATTTCCCCGTCTTTGTGTGTACATATGCACATGTGTTTCTGCATTGTGTCTGTGCATATTTGACCACAATTGCTGCAAAATGTATGATTACCAAAACTATTTAAATGGTAGAGACTTGCAGAGTATTTACACACTGCATTCCAATGACATCAGAACCAGCAAGGCCATTGACCACAAATGCTGGTTTTATGTGTGCAAAGGAGTCCATTCTGGCTCACAGGATAATTTGTAGGAAAATATTGAAAAGTAAAAATACCAAAACACATCAGCACCCATTTATTATACTGGCAAGATATACTGTAAATATTATATCTTATTGCTCACATCTTTAATTACTCATGACTAAAGTCAATTTCACAACTGTCTCCACTGGGAGATTATTATATTTCATATATTAATACTGATTTGATGCTATCAAGAATTTGACTGAGAAACATGTAATTAAAATGAGCCATAGGTTTTTTTTTCTTTGTTAAGGTGGCGTTCTTCCAATTTCCAATTTGACCCTTGACCAGAAGTTTTGATGTTTCTATTTTCACATCATCACACACCACGTTCTCTGGACAATAATGAAAGTTCTCTTAGATGTGTAGTAAAACCGGAGTATGAATTATTTACTTTATTTAAATCATTACTCCTTTAATAATTCATACATCTCCTCAGGCAAGTGTTACACCTAATTTCTTAGATCACACCATTAAGAGTTTTGGAGTCAAGCACCTCCTCTTGAGAATAAAAACACATTTGGCTGTTTTCCTTGCACAGCAAAAGAACCTCTGCTTGTTCTCTTTGCTCTCTCATGCATGCTTTAATAAATAGCATACTGTAACTGTAGTTCTTAAAAGTACCTCAGACAAGCAAAGTGACTGTAACAGTTCAAAGTTTACCTTCTGGACATTTATGACCGAATCATTCTTGTGTGAACCAAAATTGCTTCTCCTCTTAGCGGTAATGAACGTACGATTGAAGAATAAGCGTAACAGACGATGTGCCATTTCAAACAATGGAGTGACATTCAGAAAATCAATGTAGGGCCTCGTTAAGGTTCACATTAAAGATTTCTGTCTGTCTTAGGAAAAGCGGCGCTACCTTAATGACATCTCTGTATCGATCTCTGAAAGAAACATTAGTTAAGCAGCACTGAGGATGAAACATCATTATAGAAATTTGTAACAATCGATCAATCTAAATTAAACAAATTAAAGCTTCTTTGTGAGTCAGCAAGTTCATTTATATGAAACTTGTTGGCTTAAATGATTCATTCCAGTGCCGCTTCCAGAATCTAAATGGAATCTTCTTTAAAAAAAAAATGTTTTATGCATTTGCTTGTGCAGATATACTACAAAGTTTGCGATGTAGAACTAGCTCCCCGATCTAGCCATTTATTGGCACTATATTGTAAAACAGCTTATTAATGATTACTAAGTTATTCAAAACCTCTATTTTTATTTATTTTTTGTCCTAAGTATTAAGCTTCAGTGTGTAACACATGCCACACTGCTGATTCCCCAAATCCTGTGACTTGAGTGATCAGACAATTTTCGGCTGGTGCACGATAAACTGGGTGAACAAATCCCATAGATTTGCATTGAAGAAGGGATCTGAGCCCAGAATATAATATAATCTTGAGGGTGGGATTTCCTGACTCTTTTTGTCAGAATGAGGATTACCAGCCTTTGCAGAAGAAAATAAAAGACACTAACTTTCTTTTATAGGCAAATAAAAGACACTCTTCTTTTCCTGACACATGCTATTTAACCACATCGTAAATCAAACCTCAAGTGCTATAATTAAGTGCTAAAATGCACAACTTTTGACTGATTGCAATATGACTTCATTGCTTGTGTTGAATGAATAATTGAATGAATGAATGAATGAAAATGTCATACTAAAGTGTCACACACACATCAGTTGAGATTCTACCTAGACATTTAGAGAACCATAACCGTACATACATCACCATTTAACAGTTTGGTGTCAGTAGGATTTTCTTCTTTTTTTTTAATTTAACCAAATACTAAATTGATCAAAGGTGACAGTAAAGACATTTATAATTATATCTGTTTTGAATAAATGCGTATATATATATATATATATATATATATATATATACTGTATATACAGGTGCATGTCAATACATTAGAATGTTGTGGAAAAGTCCATTTATTTCAGCTCAAATGCCTAGTGAACCAAACTGAGAGGCCATTTTGAAGGCTCAGGAAACCTTTGCAGGTGTTTTGAGTTGATTAGCTGATTGGCATGTCACCATATTCTCATTTGTTGAGATAGTGAATTGGTGGGTTTTTGTTAAATGTGAGCCAAAATCATCACAATTAAAAGAACCAAAGACTTAAACTACTTCAGTCTGTGTGCATTGAATTTATTTAATACACGAGTTTCACAATTTGAGTTGAATTACTGAAATAAATGAGCTTTTCCACGACATTCTAATTTATTGAGATGCACCTGTATATATATATATATATATATATATATTACACAGCACAACTGTTTCCGACAGTGGCTTTTAACCAATTCCATGACTTCTGTAGTCTTTCACGATTAATAAATAAAAATAAAAATAATAATAATAATTTTATAGAAATTGATTAAAAAAAAAACAAGTATATTCACTGTACTTTTCCAGGTCAGGAAGTTGCAATAACTCCCTGGCACTTCCAGATTTTTCCATGAAATGATTGTTACGCTCTGACTTGGAGTTGTAAGTGAGCCAAGACGGTCGACAAGAGACCAAAAAATAAATTAGAAGGGGGGAAAACGGTGGACAAAGGGGCGATGATTGTCTTTCCAATCTCTAAACGTACAGTTGTAGCACTGGGCTGAGTGACACATGCACAATGAGAGCGAGTGGGCTGCCATTTGGCCCGGAGGGAACTGTCAGTGTTTAGGGACTCCAGAGTGCAGATAGCTTTTAAATGGCAACCTGTCAAACAAAACATACATGACAATGCACACCTCAAGCAGCACAGAGACACACTAACACGTTAAAAATGGCAGTCAAAACATTCAGGTTAAATGTGGAGACTTCATTTTTCAAAGACTTGGAGCTTTCTGAGGCTCCTGGGGTACATTTTACTCTCATCAAAACCAATCTCTGCTCCCAAACGCCCACCGGTTTGAACACACTTTCTGATTAAAGCCTGCTACTTGTCAAGTTTTTATTTATTTATTTATTTTTGTTGGAGGACGGGTGGGCGCAGTTTCCTCCGGCGATGTTCACAGACTGTCTCTCTCGATGCTGCAGAATGTTTGCTTTCATCCTGCTTTGAAGCGTGTTAAAGCAGCCTGATGTTATTTGCTGTCAGCACATCCAAACGCCACTTTAGCGCAATCAGTGTGCCCAACAAGCCATGATAGAAGCCAGGCAATCAATCTCTGTATGTTCTGACAGTTACACAGACTGAAGCAAGTTTACAGCAGTGATGGCACAGTGTTTTCGAATGCTGAGCAAGGCTGCCAGTACATGCTGTTGAAAAGTGTCAGAATTCTGCTAATTCTGCTGTTTCTGCTAACCAATAAGGAAACCCTCAACCTTTGCTTTGACGGGCTGTTATTGGACACACACATTCTTACCTTCCACATACTGGCCTCTTTGCCGTAAACCACAGCCATGTTGTTGACTTTGTCCCTCTGTATCATCAATCTTTCAGTCTGGTTTAGTTCCTCGGTCACAAAACCCATGAAAGAGTTATCAGGAGTGTGTGCTGCAGAAAAACAACAACAAAAAAACAGAATGTTTCTAATTTCATAAATACAGTTCTTTACGAGATCATCGCAATGACACCATTGCATTCATTTTGAATGTTCCAAAGAGAAGCAGTGGACAGAATTATTTCACGAATGCTCATAAAATGTAAGTTTGATTGCTGAATGTAAGGTAGTAAACCTTAAGGTAGTATACTGTATATTAACTGGCATGCGCGGAAGCCGTTCCGGCGGATGACGTAAGACGTCGATGTTGCGTGATTAGTGACGAACGCGGAGACAAAAAAAACAAAACGCTGGTCACGAATTAGAAGCACAAAATGAGGATTTGTAAAGAAAAATGTTGGAGGATTTCGATATAAGCCAAGAGGAGAGTGGTTTTCCTTTGGTCCTGCATTTCTCAGAGGTGCACTCACGACGCATACGTCCTACGTCATCCGCCTGAACATCTTCCGCGGATTTGTAAAGAAAAATGTTGGAGGATTTCGATATAAGCCAAGAGGAGAGTGGTTTTCCTTTGGTCCTGCATTTCTCAGAGGTGCACTCACGACGCATACGTCCCACACGTACCACAGTCAGCGGAAGTGAGAAAAAAGTGTTTATTACATTTGAAATATGGATATTTCTCTTACAAAAATGCATGGATTTGCTACAGGAGGCCTTTATTCACCGTGTGAGGGATGTTTTATTACGGATGCTTGCACTTTATTTCACGTCTTCTGAACTGTTGACAACCAAAACCCACTTACCCCCATTGAAAGGCTTGGAGGGGCCAGGACAATTTTTAATATAACTCTGATTGGACTTGTCTGAAAGAAGAAAGTCACATACACCTAGGATGCTTTGAGGGTGAGTAAAACACAGGCTAATTTTCATTTTTGGGTGAACTATCCCTTTAAGCCATTCAAGTGCAAGTCGCAGGCTGTGATAGATTGTTTCTGTGCGCACACATGCTAAAAGCCGCAGCTCGGACAGCCTGCGAGTGTCAAATTGAGTTGTCTTTCGCATCTTCTTGAGCAAATGCACACAGAATTATATCAGAATGGCTGTTTTGATGGGTAAAATCCATTTAAACACGTATTGTTTCTGACCTGCCCTTCACCCCAAACCAGCAGGATCACGACTTCTTCCACCTGTAATGGTAGTACTGCTCGGTCCCCTTGCTGTATCGCCTCAAATGCATACGTAACTGGACTTATTTTGAGCTCAGCAGTCCTTTTAAGCGTCTATATATTTTTTTTATTAAAGTGGAAATCAGTTTACTAAATAAGAGGGGAAGCACCTCTCAAGCATTTAGACCATGTATGAAATAAAGGGATTCCCAAACATTTTTTGTCAGCCAAATGCTTTAGACATGAACTATTTACTTGAAATATTTCGTAATATTTCAATAACTTAAAAACACATTCACATGTTTACAGTTTGAATTCGCTTAATGGTCACATTAACATGCAGGTAAACAAATTAAATATTTCTATGTTTAGTGTCCAAGTGTTTAAATAATTTATATTACATTTATTTTACTGTTAAATGGTGATGTATGTACGGTTATGGTTCTCTAAATGTCTAGGTAGAATCTCAACTGATGTGTGTGTGACACTTTAGTATGACATTTTCATTCATTCATTATATATATATACAGTGGGTACGGAAAGTATTCAGACCCCCTTACATTTTTCACTCTTATATATATATACTTTTTTATTAATTTTATTATTTAATTAATTATCAACTCACAAACCTACTGCAGTTTTTGAATTAAGCCCAGTTTGGGAAACCCTGGTTTAATGTAATAGATTTTATGACGTTGATATTTTCTTTCTCTTTGCTTTTTTTTGTGTGTGTGTGTGTGTCAATATGGTATGTTTCATGGTAAGTTTAAAACAAGTTAGATAAAAAAAGTAATATAAAAGTAATCTAAAAAGTACTCAGAATATATTACCTAAAAAGAGTACCCTAGATTACTTTACTAACTACAGTTTTCATCATGTAATGTGTAATCAGTAATGGACTACAATTTGTAAATCATCTACCCAGCTCTGTTCTTTCGTTCATTCATTCAGTCATCCATTATGAATTACACATACACACAATTCATGGACTATTTCCATAACCATTTTAAGATATTAAGACATTTCAGGATATTAATGATAAAATGTTTGAAATTGCACATATATTAGTATTTAGTTTTTAGTATTTATAGTAGATTTAATAAAACTCATGTTATTGTCTATGGGTGAAGTCTTTCATTTCTCGCAATAATTTAATTTAGATTAGATTAGATCATTTATATATATATATACATAGACGCGCAATGTAGATGAAATGTTGTGGTTTTGTATAACAAAATTAGTTCTGATGTCTGGCAACTGTTTGACTGCACTGAACTTAGTTCAAGGAAAAACGGTCTAATTGGTCTAAATTCTACACTAAAGAGACATTTAGTGAAAATTAATCGTTGTTGTGTGTTGAATTTCTGTCATTCTGATGCGAATTTCAATTCGTCATCCTGTAGGGCATCTGGCCAATTCAATTCAAATTCACACTCATGAAGTGAAAGGGAACAAATTGCTAAATTCTGAATTTGGGCCAACCTTGTGTTCTGTTAATATATTGAAATGAGGAGCAGTGCCTCAGAGTGTAGAGATGCAGATTTGTGCATATGCTGCACAGACACAAACACTCTCCAGCTCTGACAACATCTGCTGCTCTTCTCCTGCATACAGATGCTCTGCGTCTATAGCATCTGCTACCCAAACACAAAACGCTCACCCAGACGTGCTTACTGTTCTCATTTTCTGTGCTGTGATTACTAAAAGACTTTCATAATGCAGCCTGATAAATGCATTAGAGTAGCTATGAGATACTCACCCCTTTGATAAAGAAGTTAGCCACATTACAAGCTACTAATTAGACATAGGTAACTAAACTACTTGGTAGAAGCAATCATTTTGGTAAAACTTTATTTTATGGTGTCCTTGTTACACGTTGCATGTACTGTACTTCCGTAAACTACAGATTACAGTCTATAAAGTTTTAAATATGTATATTTTTCTTACACAAACGCATCGCTTCGCTTCAGAAGGCTTTTATTAACCCTGCGGGGCCATGTGGAGCACTTTTTATGATGGATGGATGCACTTTTTTGGGCTTCAAAATCTCGACCCCCACTCACTGCCATTATATAAAGCTTGGAAGAGCCAAGACATTTGTTTAATATAATTCTGATTACATTTGCCTGAAAAAAAAGTCACATACACCTAGGATGGCTTGAGGGTGAGTAAATCATGGGATAATTTACATTTTTGGGTGAACTATCCCTTTAATAACTGTATAATTATATGCAACTAACCCTAAATCAAACCCTATTCCTAACACTAATCCTATAGAAAGTAAACATTATTAATTAATATTACTCAGCACTTACATGTACAATTACTCTATAACATGGACAGGTTAAAATAAAGTGTAACCAAACTGTCTTATTTGTTTTACTATGTATTACATACCATACACTATAAAAATATTGGCAGGAATTTACAGGATTAAAGAGTATTATTTTACAATATATTACTGTAGTCAGACATTTGCTGTGAAATCAATGCATGCTGGGCCATTTTATTTATTTTTATAAATGACTGTGAATGAACAGCAGAATGATGATAAATCACAATAATTTTGTTTTACTGTGAATTCACATTATAAAGTTGTCTTTATCTGTGCCGCTGTCAGAAATGTAGTTGTTTACTGCTGTAATTGTTTTGAAGTCACCATAATAGTGATTGGTGATCCCATTTGTTTGGGCTCTGTAACCTCGCATATTCATAATCAAATTTCTAGTCATGTCAGAAGTTTGACAAATGAAAACATTTGTCAAAATGATGAGAAGCTAGAATATGAAATACGATAATTACCTAACTTTAGTTAGTTTAACTGTTCTTATCTTATCGATTTTATTTTAGCATTATTTAAGCATGAAGATTAATCAATAACTTATTTAATATTCATAACTGTTTGTGGATGGATATATATATATATATATATATAGATATATATATATATATATTTTTTTTTTTTTTTATTATATAATA